AACATTTTGCTCAGTATATTCAAATTCAAGGTGTAACTTTCGGCTTTGATTATTTACAGTATATATTTTTTTAATAAATAAGGTAACGAAACGGTGAAAAAAGAAGCGCCATCTGTTTTTTCCATCTCAATTTGTTGGTAGTTTAACTGATTTAACATAGCTTACAAGTTCGCGAAGTCATTCACAGATGTCACTATCCAATATTACAATTTTATCACAGATTGACGTGTAGTAAATGTACATCATAAAATTTTAGCCTGTATACAAATGTATAAAGTTACAACCTGCACAGCTATAGGAATGAATCACTCACATAATACCAGCACCGAAACAAATAATTTAGCAACCTTTTTTCCTAATAAGGGAAATTGTATGTAACAACAGAGGATAGGATATTTGATTGAGGAATTGGTACGAGCATGTACGAACAACAATACGAACAGAGTCTCAGTGCCAGTGGGAGCTTGAAGCAAAACATACAAAATTAACGGGCACACTCTCGAGGGATGACCGTCCTCGTTCTCTCACCTGAGCGCCAACGGAACCACAAAGGCACTCTAGTATTATACGCAGTTGGATAGTCAGGAATATGTTTGTAGAGTTTTGTAGAGTCTTTGTAGTTTACAGAACAGACAGTCAATAGACTACCGAGTCATCTTCCAGAGAACCGCCCCCTAGTAACTACTCCAGATCGTCACCATATTTCTCGATATTACAAAATCCGTCGCTTAACATACTGTGGTACTGCCAACTGTTTAAACGGATGAGCAGGTTCGTACAAGGAAGTATCACGGTCTCACAGAGAGCGGGCATGGAGTGGAAGTGATATAAAATGACATACTTGTTCTATTATATTGTAAACTAATCGTTTTCAAAAAGAGCAACTGTTGAATTTCTTGCCGGTTTCTTCTCAAAGGAAACTGCTTTCCGAACCGGTGGTAACTTACGAACGTATTAATTTTTATGTAAAATTTTTGACATTTCATAAGAACGTGCAAGCGTCTATGTGAATAAATAAATTTTTGATTTTGATTTCATTCTATATATCTTGAAGACGCCAATATGTGGTGTTAATACTGTTGATACTCATGTAGGGTAAAATAAGACTTTTATACATGTATCATGTTCTATTGTCAACTGAGCTTTTTAATAAACAGCAACTGTTGAGTATCTTGCCGGTTTCTTCTCAACAGAAACTGCTTTCCAAACCAGTGGATCCAGTGGTAACTTACTTACGAGGTTATGTGAAATTTCGACGTTTCACACGAACGCGCAAGCATCTATTTGAATAAAGATATTTTTAATTTGAATTTAGTAGTATTTTAACCATCAGTAAGTGAGTGTACATTTGGCATTTTTTTGCCGTGTGGGAACCTCCTACGCATACCCACGGTGGCAAGAGCGACTCCCACCGACTAAAACTCGATGTTCCACTCAGAGTGTATAATGACAGAGTCACGGGAACCCTTTCGCATACTTCCAAGATCCTGCCTAAGGCATCTGCCACCCTGAGTTGTATATGTCCATGCCATGTATGTCACTTAACATCAGGTTCCTTCTCTCTTATCACCTTCTAAAACAAAAAAAGTCAAAACCGGTGGTTACGGTAATGTTACCTAATTTTAATAATTCGGCCGTTGACACAATGTCTGTTTAATAGTTTCTTATTAAATGCGTTTTTGAAATAAGGCTACACTAGCCAGTGACCTGTGATGGAAGCGGTCAACTGTACGTAATGCCTGTAAATCACTTTATCTAGAATTTTCGTTTTTATTTGAACAGTGCCAGTGTCAAACTGCTGGGGTCACGATTTGGCACAGCTTGGAGCTGCCTAATCAATTTGTGGGCCTTGACCGCTTGTGCAATGGATTTTTTCTCGTATTTTCTTCAAGCAGGGGCAACTGAAACGTTTACGATGATTCAAAGGTGTAATTTGCTTCAAATAACGTATACCCCTTATAGGTAATGTACTGTGTTACAAATAAAAAACAATATTTTAACTATAAATTAGTACATTTATTGCTACTTTTACATAGTTAATGTAATTACAACTATCGAAATGGATGTGTAAATGATTAAACTAAGATAACCGATTCGTCTTGAGAGTGAATAACTCTTCGTGTATTTCATCAAAGGTTTGTTAAGTCTAATATCGATGTTGTCATTGAAAATATCAGGTTTGCACGCGAAATTATTCAAATGTTTTCTAAAAGTCTCACTAAAGTAGGACGGACAAGTATTTAATATAAGTAAATGGCTGAAATCAAGAAATTTTGTCTACAGAAATGAAGCCTGCTGCTGAGATTCACCATTGTACAACTATATCATTATATTAATACTACTATATTGTTTATTAATATATTAAGAAACTTTAAAGGCATCACGATTATATATTTCTCAAATGTTCACTATCATAATATTCTCTTTGTTTATTTACACCGACGTGTAAACAAAAAATATTGCTACGTTAGAACCACATACGACCTTCTGTTGTAGTATGAATCGGTTAAGTTTTCCGAAGATGTAGAAGAAGGCTGCACAGAAGACCAGCGTGAAGTATTTTTTTATATTCATGCATTTCTATTGACGAGCTTAGTAAGCAGGGCCAACACTTTCTTAAAGCAGTGTGAGGCCTACTGGTATGTGGGCGGCGGTAATCACTTATCATTATACAACATATAATGTACGTAGTAAATTTCGTAATATAATAATAATAATAATAATTCTTTATTTTAGGCAAAAGCCCATAGTAATAATCGACAAAAATTCAAATTAATAATTAAAAACAAAATTAGATTTAAACATTACACAAACAATTAATTACATAAAAAACAACATTAATTTTTACTTATCTACGTAATGCATAAACGTCTTATTAAGGAAGTAGTTGTACCACATAGCTACGCACGGACAAATTCATGCAAACCTCTAACGCCCATTTAGAAATACCGACCGCAATATTATAAAATTACTTTTTAATCGTGATAGCCTACACAAAAAACACGTAACATTACAGACTCTGTACCGCTTTCAGTGAATTGTGGATAGTAATGAAAAAGAAAATAAATAAATCACTCATTTACCTCTGTTTTCCAATCAGTGTGGCCTAGTTGCATAAGTTCGCAATTACTGTAACAAATGTGCTCAATGAAATTACAAAACCACGTACACGATTGTGATAAAACAAAATCACACAACAAAACTATGTCGAGGGGTTTTGTTGTTACAACTTTCAATAAAATCTGACTTTCCTTTCATAGTATTACAACTACGTCAATAATAAATCTATATGTACTCGTAATATACATAGTTGAAGGTATTTAAAGTAGTTATTTTAGGCAATATAACATTCGAACATAGTTCCAAAAACTACATTGAAACCTTTAGTACGAAATATTCTTTTTATTTAGATATCTTTGATTATATACTTGTCATAATCAAAGGTAGATATTCTAATTTAGCTTTATCACAACCGTACTAGCTCATTGTCCGGGCGTTCGCTTTTAATTCAGTATTGAGTATATTGTATAGCAAGCTGTGTTCGTTCCCTGGAGGCGGCACCAATGAAATTGTTAATTTTAACTTGTATCTTGCATTAACTGATGTTTGGGCTTTCAGTCCAGAGACTATTAAAGCTTCATCTGACGCAGAACCGGTGGGCTAGCCAGAACCCACGGGTTTGGGCCCTCCGCTGTGGGTAGGGCCGCGCACGTGCTCATGCATTAATTTTAAGTGCCGACTATTACGTGCTTAGCGGTGAACGAAAATATCGTGAGGAAACCTGCATATTTTCGAAATAATAAGAAAAAAATATATTTCGAAGATATGTGAAATCGGCCAGTACCGAGGAGAACTTTGCAGTGGGATATTTATAGGCTGTTACTTTACTTTATTTATTTTTACATACATACTCTCACATACGCTTACATAGCCAGTCATGGTAGCATCCGTTTTTATTTCAGTGTATTTGAGCAATCTGGGTTCAAACCCGTCGTTAGTGTGCTTCATTTTCAGAACCAGAAGAAAAATATCTTGAGTAAATCTTCATAATATGTAAGAAATCAGTTAAAAATAAAATTCTACGACACGTGAAGTCAATTAATACATATTACTATTATATAACTAGTGTCTTATAGCGGACACAGCCTTTTTAAAAAAAAAAGCTTTTATACATTTGTAACAGAGTTTTCTTATACACAGCAGGAGACAAAATTCTGTCTTATTCCAAAAGAAGTTTAAATTTGATACCGAAGTTACAGGTAGTAAGAAGAACCAGGCTTAAAACCTTGAACTTACGTAAACGTTATTAGAAAAGAAAGACTATCTTTAAGCATTGGACTATCTATTGTACTAAAGTTAAACCACAATATTAAACTTTTCGTCTGGTGAGTGGGGTAGCCGGGGCCTACTTTATTAAAAGATGGTAACGTATCTGCAATCCTACGGATTTTGCAAATGTCCATGGGCGGCATTTTCACTTAACATCACACCTCAAAAAAATAAAGTTTCTTGTACACAAATAATACAATGAAAACAAAATAGATGGACATCATAATTATAGAAGGACGTCAATAAATTGTTAAAACTACTAAACTTTGATTGCTTTAGTATTTCAGGTTATTGTAAAATTTTTTACGGCCTTTGCATTTCGTCTAGCATCTTCTGTCACAAGCCTCGGTCAAAGAAAAGCCTATAAATATTATTATAACGCAGCGTCTTTGATGCACATCCAGATTTCATCAATCCATCAAATCATAAAGTCAAAGAGACAGAAATAACTACGTTGGTTCCAAAACTGATCACTCCTAAAAAACTCACTGCAAGGAGGTATAAAGTGACTGCGAGGCGTGAGCCGATGAATATAAACACAAAGACACCTATAGCCGTCGGTCGCAGTGGTAATAGTAATCCGGGACGCGGCGACCCGTGACGGTGTTTGGGCAACTGGCGGCGGGACAAAACCGCGCGTCCGCCGCTCCCGCGCGACATTCGCTCGCGCCATGCCGCGCGCCGCGACGCCGCTGCGCCTACTGCTGCTGCCATTTCTGCTCACCGGCCTATGCCACTGCCAGCCGGCGCATACAGACGCCCCCGACGCCACCAAAGCCTCCAACGACACAGTGACAGTCTTCGTGCTGAGCGATGCCACCGCCAACAATACCGCCTTTGATTCTGACAACGAAACGCTGGCGGACGCCGATCACGAGCCGATCGTGCGCAAGAAGAGGACCTTCGGCGACATAGTGTTCAGGGGGCTGGCCGACGTGCTGGGGTACAGTGTGGCGCGGAAGCCTGCGCAAGTGAATTTCCCGCCACCGCTGGCCCCCGTGCCCGGGATCGGTTTGCCGGCCCAGGCGGCGGCGCCCGCCCCAGCGCCAGCTCCCGCGCCGGCACCCGCACCGGCCGCCCCTGCGCCTTGTGGCTCACCTCGTGCAGCTCCGACCCCATGCCGAGCTCAGAGGCCGCCACCTCCCCCTCCCAAGCCAAGGCCACCGCCACCCTGCCCGAAACCTAGGGCAGCTCCTAGGGCCAAGCCTAGACCACCACCACCACCACCGCCACCTCCTCCTCCACCACCACCTCCGCCGCCTTGCGCCAAGCCTCGTGCCAATCCTACCACACCTTCACCTTGCGCCCCACCACCCCCACCTCCACCACCGCCACCTAAACAAGCCGACAACCTAGAGACGATCTCTTCCAATTTCCGTCTTGATTTCAATTTCAACAGGGCTCCGGCTGCTTCTGCACCCGCCGCCGCCGAGCCAACTGCAGAGGAACAGGAACAAGAACAGGAGCAAGAGCAGATAGCACCTGTTGCGATCGAACCTCGCGCCGCTCGCTTGCCACTGGAACAGCCTCGTGAGCCACGGGTTTACGTGGACGCTTTCGTCGTTCGAAATGGTGTTGCACAGAAGGTAGCCGCTGTGGATGCCCAGCACTTTAATTCTCAAAGAGCGCCTCTGGAGGATGATTACCTTTTGTATGACGAGGAAGAAGTACAGCAAGTTCCGGAAGATGATTATGAAGATGTTCAGGAGTCCCGCGACAGAGTAAAGGCAGTACAAGACTTCGGTAAAGCCGTAGACAAATTTTGGGAGCCCAAAAAGAGAAAGTCTAAAAAGAAACTGCCAGCTAACGACTACCGAAACGTGCATTTCGGAGATCGGGAATTGGCTGATCAATTACGAAGACGCAGCGACCGCGGATCACATCAAAACTTACAACTGGAACGACAACAACCAAACAGAATCCCCCTACCATTACCTGAAGCCGATGAAGACACTGAGGTGACCACGACCACTGAAGATCCTAAACGCCCTTTAAGACCACGCGTGCTCCCACCGACAGAGCATAATCCCGGACAAATTGATACCGTCACGGTTCGGGTGCCGCCGATCTACAAGGAGAGGCGTCCGAAAAAGTTGAATCGCGGGAAACCAAAGAGACCAGAGCGTCCCGAGCACCCAGATCGCGATGAAGACGAGGAGACGCAGGACAGATCGAGTGAAGTCGAGGACGATGCTGATGTTGAGGATAGTGCGCTGGTTGCTCGTACTGAGCGTCCCATCAGGCGCAAGCGCCGGCGCAAGCAGCGGCGCGATAAACGCTCGATCGAGAACGAATCCTACACGGCGGGGGACTACGACTATTACGGCAAAAAGCTTCCCATATCTGACGAGGAGGAGCACTTTAGGGGCCTCACCGTGCCACCTCCGACTAGAGACTCTGACCTCGCACGCCTAGAGCAGGCGCCCGAGGAAGATCACTTTTTAGACGACCACGAGAGAATTTCCGAAGATCCGGAAATTGTCGGAGAAGACGAGAGGTCGGACGACGACAGCGAAGTCGATGAGACCGAAAGAGCTGACGACTCGGGGCGAACGGACGATGGTGAGCGCTCGACAAAAGACCCAGAAAAGGTGGGAGATTCCGGACGTGCCGACGACAGCGGCAGGGCGGACGAACGGGAGCGCACCGACAAACTGAGCCCCAACGCGCGCGTCCACGAGACCGGCTTCCAGAACAACTACGTGAGGTCGACAAACGTACAGGTCGACGATCCGCGCCCACTCGTCGCCACCGTCGAAAAGAAGACGACAAAGATAGGCAAAGTGTGATCTTCACACGCTCGCCCTGCGGGGTGCCATAAACGTTATTTATTGTAAAAGTGGGGAGAGGCCAGCACGCCGTTTGTACTGACTACCCCTGACTACCTTTCCTATAGAAAAAATGCCTAAAAAGAATGTAGTAGAGGTGCGTCGATCGCCTGTGATGTTATAGTTTAAGTTTGTCCGTGCGTCGTCGCGTCGAGGGATCATTCATATTTTTATACCTTAGTATATAGTGTTCTGTATTAAGTTTCCTAATAAAGCGATTTCGTCAATGATTTAGTTTCATTGTTGATTTTGTCGAATCGATTGTTGCTGGGGCGTGAAATTCGATTTTCTCGCCGAGGCAATGACAACGTCTGACGGCTAAGTGGGTGAAGGTCCGACGGATGAAATTGAAAACAGAAACAAGAGTACGCGTGCCGTTGGCCTACTGCGGTCACCGCCGTCGACTTAGCGCAGGAGACTACAGCAGATATTAACGTAAACGAGATATACGGTTACAATTATCTCAAAGACATGTTTTGCTTTTTCCTTGCTTAAGCCATAGATTATGTAATTTATGAGATATATTTTAAAAAATCTTTAAGATCGATAAATTAAAATAAATAATTAAGTAAGACTTCGGTATCAATTCGTTATCGCATTTTTTAATTTTACCTTCACTCTTACCGAAAGTAGGACGTGAACATTGACCGCGAGAGTTATAAGAAATCTGATTTCGATTAATTGAATATGAATCCAATTTGCGGCAAAGTCGTATTTAATAAATAATAAGAATTTCAGTATCAAACATTACTTTCGTTGTAATTATAATTATAAAACTTTCCTATATTTAACCAAAGCACATGTGTTTTTTCACATCTATACTTCGTGAAAGGTGGCATGCGATGTTAAGTGATAACCGCCGCCCATGTACATTTGCAACACCCGTAGGGTTGCAGATGCGATGGCACCTTTTAATGAAGTGGGCCCCGGTTACCACACTCGCCAGGCGAGTCGCTGGAAGTGTTACACTTCTGCTTAATGCCGGTCTTCTGTGAGGTCGGGGAACTTCTCCGTACGGACCTGCCCATTTTACCTATGTTCATGGTTTCGAACCATAAACCACGCGTTCGACCCAAAAACTAGTTTTACACTATGTTGACATATAATATATGTCAACATAGTGTATTTACATGCTTTTTATATATCTTTTAATTTATTAACGACACACTAGGTTTGAGTATGTATACGGTTGGTTTCGTTTATCACGGTCTTTATAACTTTATAGTGAGATCGGACAGTTATTCCGCGCTTATTATCGATGAAACAGGAAATTTTACTTTAAACAATGAAACAAAATGACAAAATGTTGGACAAGTTGCATCAGTCCGTTGCGTTCAGTTGCAGTAGTTGCAATGCAATATCTAAAATCGAGTCAGTTACGCCCGTCACGAAAAAAAGCATTGCTCTCTTGACAAATCTCTTTATAAATGTTTTTTATAAATGCTCTGAAGTGTTCGATTTGTAATAATATTTTTAACGATGTTTCTGTAATGGGAAATAATATAATGGCAAAATACCTAACTTAACAATCGAAGAGTATGTTAGTGTAAATCCACTTTGGATAAGTTGTTCTGGATAAATGTTGAGACTGCATCTGATTTTGAGAGAGCATTGTTCAGCACAGGCTATGTTAACTTACTTGGTTCTCGAAAATTTGTGAATTTCTAACCTATAATTATGACTAAACATTCCCGTATTCAATGGTTTGACATGAAATGGTTTTAATTTAACGACTAAAGAATAAAGTATAAACGAAATAGTATGAATATCACTGAACTTGCGTTCACGAATATGTTTTTCTAATATTCCTATCGTTGATCACTGCCACCTAGAAATCGTCGTATGTACTATTTGTTCCAGAACGATCGACAAATTTAAATCTTATATATAAAAATGGATTGCTGTTCGTTAGTCTCGCTAAAACTCGAGAACGGCTGGACCGATTTGGTTACTTTTGGTTTTGAAATATGTGTGGCAGTCCAGGGAAGGTTTAAACGATGTGAAATTATGGAAAAATTGCATGGAAAATCGAAATATCAACAATTTTATTTTCCCATACAAACTGTACCTGTCAACCTGTCAACTATATTTGTGTAACCTCTCAAACACTTTATGCGTGCGTTCCGATTCCTCTAGAAATAATTTTATATGGCAAAACCACGTTTGCCGAGTCAGCTAGTCTTCTATATATATAAAAATGAATTGCTGTTCGTTAGTCTGGTTTTGAAAAATGTGTGGCAGTCCAGGGAAGGTTTAAACGATGTGAAATTATGGAAAAATTGCATGGAAAATCGAAAATCCAAACAGTCAACCTGTCAACTATATTTGTGTAACCTCTCAAACACTTTATGCGTGCGTTCCGATTCCTCTAGAAATAATTTTATATGGCAAAACCACGTTTGCCGAGTCAGCTAGTCTTCTATATATATAAAAATGAATTGCTGTTCGTTAGTCTCGCTAAGACTCGAGAACGGCTGAACCGATTTGGCTAATTTTGGTTTTGAAAAATATGTGGCAGTCCAGGGAGGGTGTAAACGATGAGAAATTATGGAAAAATTGGATGGAAAATAAAAATAGCAACAATTTTATTTTCCCATACAAACTTCCTAACTGTCAAACATATGCGTGCGTTCCGAAAATTCATTTTCTATGTTTTCAGATTCACAAATTCCCTAGAAATAATTTATATGGCAAAGCAACGTTTGCCAGGTCCGCTAGTACGAAATAAATTACTTAAACCACTAATAATATCATCACTTTAAATACTTTATTTACCTCTACGTAGATTCATGAGAACAAAGTATACAAGAAAATATCCAAAAATACAAAGATAAACAAAAAATAAAAAAATAAACTAAATACCAAAATTTTATAAAAAAATTAAGAAGATACTTATAAGATAGATACTTATATAATTAATGTAATGATGAATGTAAAGATAACTTCATATAATTAATGTATTGCGGACTTACAGAAACCCCGCGTGAAGTGGAAGACTCGTACTTCTTTCGTCTAGTGAGTGAGGTAATAAGGACCCACTATTTTGATGAATGGCAACGCATCTGGCACCCCATGGATATTTTAGCATTTCTTGGGCATAGTTCGGTAGCATTCAATCACTCGATGCCAGGTTAACCAACTGCTTACTTTTCACCTTCTTACATAAAACATAATCAGAAGAACTTTGCATCCCGGGTTCTGCCAGTTCTTATTAAAACAGTATATCCTTTTTCCATCTCTATAATTGTACCTTGTATTGAGTACTATTACATATTATGTCGCCAATTCTTTGAATTATACGTAAAAATTTACGCAATATGTTATAGGTTATATTTACGACCGATATATAATTTGAAAGGATTTATTAAGTGAATTGATTGATTGATTGAAGCAATTATTCGAAAACTTTTCAGCGCAACACCATCAAAAGGTAATCTATATGTAGGGCGCACGGTAAGTGTTTACTGGCAACCTCATTCGGTCAAGTGTCGTAATGATTTGCTTAACCCTAGTTAAATCTTGTTGGCAACAAGTGGCCACGGCCCAGCGTCCCAACAGATGCAGCATGGCAAGCAGTTAAGCCATGTTAGGCTTATGATGTATGCTAATCTTGGCATTAAGCCTCTCTGAATTAACATTTCCGTTAAAATGTAAATAGTAAGAAATTTTCTTTTGGGCATTAAATGTAAATATTCAAGCTTACACAATAAATTCTTATCAAATGTCACAGTCCCAAGTGGTTTTATGAATCGAGCGTAATGTTGGAATACGCGTAATTTGTATTTCAATAATCGTATCTCTCTTATAATGTTGCATATCATTTTTTTATCAATCTTTGCCATCTAAGGGTACATTACATAAATGTTACGATAAATAAGTGCTTATAAACTTAGATGCCCTTTCCAGGCACTGCATTTTTTTTATTGGACACTGCTCACTTAAATAGTAATCAAATCAAAAGCATTATCATTTATGAGCGCCACCTACTTCTTTAACCGCTTACAATGGGGATCATCATCGTGGCGTGCATACATATCAGGAAAATCGGTTACCACACTATTGCCAACTTAGGAACGTGCCCGGAACCGTCGTGACGTCACCAGCTTACGATTAAAAGGAGTGCACGGATCGAGTGGATACGAAAGTGAGCTTAGTTTTAAATTCTATGCGATGGAATTTACGACATCGCGGTGGGCATTTCCTTGTATGTCGAAAACACCCGCCATGAGATACGAGGTTGGCACAGCACACGTGACAATAATGGATCTCCTCCGATACCGAGGCGGTAAGAAGTAGAATTTTTAAGACAATCGCGTCAAAATGGACCAATTCTGCGCTTAAACTAATTTCGTTAAATATAAATCTAGCATTTTGGAATTAAATCTGTGATTTTAATCGCCAACTTAGTTGAGAAAACATCGTAAGGAAATATGCATGATGATGTCGAAATCGCTGGCCTCATTGCGATGTATATAAATAGAAAGGAATAGAATAATTCTATATCTGTTTCCCGTTTGAAAAACAGATCACCGCACATATGCACGCGTCTTATTATTCAGCTTGTAACTGAAGTGCATGTCGCGTATGATGTCATGGGTTATTAATTAATTAACCCCAAACCCATGGGTTCTGGCTAGCCTACCGGTTCTGCGTCAGATGAAGCTTTAATAGTCTCGGGACTGAAAGCAAAAACATCAGTTAATACAAGATACAAGACAATTCATTAATTAAAAAAAAAAAAAAACAGCAACAAGACTTTGTTTCGAAATTCAAGTTTTAAATTAATCTTTCATACCGGGAGATTACTGGAATTCGTCGGAAGTTTTACGTACAAAAAATCATGAGAAAACTATTTATAGGCTAGACATATGTCGGTATCTAGTGAGGATCAAATCCACACGTTGTCATTTGCAGACTCAAAGGTGACCTTAAACCACTGACGAGCCTTCCTGTACTATTTCACCGTCTATGCAATCTATTTGGTTGGTTGTAGAAGTGGGCGATACAAATCGTATCAGATATGAAAACTAGATATTAGTACAATATCCCAATATCGCTTACTGGCTCGTTCAATATCTATGTATTATACAATATCTGATATTTCCGAAATCTGATGTACCGTGCTCGCTCGCTATACCGACACGAATCGCGATACGGCGATATCATACGCGTTTGCCACAATATCTGATTTTTAAACAGATTTCGAGAGACAAAGCGCGTGAGATACAAATACTCACTAGTTAGAGCGGGACGGAAAGCAATGCACGATATCAGATATCGAGCGACAAAGCGCGTGAGATATAAATACTTACTAGTTAGAGTGGGACGGCAAGCAATGCACGATATCAGATAACGAGCGACAAAGCGCGTGAGATATGAATACTTACTAGTTAGAGTGGGACGGCAAGTAATGCACGATATCAGATAACGAGCGACAAAGCGCGTGAGATATAAATACTTACTAGTTAGAGTGGGACGGCAAGCAATGCACGATATCAGATAACGAGCGACAAAGCGCGTGAGATATAAATACTTACTAGTTAGAGTGGGACGGCAAGCAATGCACGATATCAGATAACGAGCGACAAAGCGCGTGAGATATGAATACTTACTAGTTAGAGTGGGACGGCAAGTAATGCACGATATCAGATAACGAGCGACAAAGCGCGTGAGATATAAATACTTACTAGTTAGAGTGGGACGGCAAGCAATGCACGATATCAGATAACGAGCGACAAAGCGCGTGAGATATAAATACTTACTAGTTAGAGTGGGACGGCAAGCAATGCACGATATCAGATATCGAGCGACAAAGCGCGTGAGATATAAATACTTACTAGTTAGAGTGGGACGGCAAGCAATGCACGATATCAGATTTTTAAACAGATGTTATGAATAAGTTAAGTAATTTTGAATCTTAACACCATGCAAATAAGATCCGTTTCATTTAAATACTAATCTTGGTATCAGCGATTACTACAACGATATTATTATATTTTTATTGTTTTGTTTAGCCTTGAGCCGTAACGGGCGACAAAGCGCGCAGTTAAGTAATTTTGAATCTTAACAGCATGGAAAAAAACTCTGTTGCATTTAAATACGAATTACGGTATTAACGATGTCTTTGAAATTTTGTTCAGCCTTGAGCTGGATTGCATTGGTACTTAACACGTAATAGTAAGGGATGCCAACTTACTACTTAAGAATTTTCAGCCTAAATAAGGAAGAAAAATATACAATGGAAATTTTTTAGGAGGTAAATTTTTTGTGAATATTTTTATTAGCTAAATTTTATTCATATTTTTGGAAAAAAATAAAAGTACACAAAAAGAAAAATATTATTTAATAGTGCTGTGCTGCTTTGTTGGAAATCAGACCAAGGCTTATGTGCCTTGTGTGTATATTTTAAATTCTTCCGCCCTAAGCTATAATACTGAATGTATTATTTCTTACACAAATAATAGAAATATTGCCACTCGATTGCGTGTTCTAAAAATATGTTAAAGTCAATTATTAAGCGGTATATAAGATGTTAAAATAAATCATTTTTAGATTACTTCAATTTATATTTTAAATGAAATTTTTAATTTAATAATTTAAAAAAACGCATTTTTAGTAAGACAGGGTTAATTATTAATGATCGTCGAACAAGAGTTTCGACGAATAAAGTCAGAGAGCTTACGTTCCTAAACGTGAATTTGAACCCGGAGGGATATAAATAATTATAAACCCTGACATAATTGTAAATATATAATGTTAAGTTTTAAATATAAGGAAAATTATGTACATAGAATGAATCAACTTTTATATTTATAATAATAAGTATGAAATATTGCAGCAAGTCCTAAGCCTGGAAAAAGTATGAAGGGAAGTTATTTCATTCATCTTATATCCACTCCCTTAAAGTATAATTTTTTTTTTTTTTTTTTTTTTTTTTTTTTTTTTTTTTTTTAAATTCAATTAATCAACGTGGATAGGGAACCGTAAAATATCTAGATATTAAAATACATAGTTTCGAAATCTGATATTTGAAATCGATATCGGATTCAGATACGGTACTCAGAAAACGCGATACGACCCATCCCTAGTTGGTTGTAATATCCCCATGGAAAAGTTTTGTTTATAAATAAACAATTAGACTTATTTCCAATTCAATTCATTAATATCTGATTCGGATTAAATTGTGTAGTTGCGTAGCGCAGTTGCCAAGGTATTAGCTTCGGCGTCGGGGGTCGTCGGTTCGAATCTCACACGGGACAACAACTTGTGTGGTCAATAGATATTTGTTTAGACAGGATAATGTTATCCTAAAGTAAGCGCAATGTTTAAAAAAAAAGACATCTTTATGAAAAGCAGGAAAAATCTAAATATTGTCTTACCGTCCGAACGTAATGTCATCAAAAAAAAAATCAATAGACTATCCCTGACCTAGTATTAATAATGTAATTGTCTCGTTTAAAATACGTTGTGACAGCCTTCGACTGTCGGTGGAAGGGCTGGCTGTTGTAGGGACAGGTGTGGTCAAAGGTCAGGTCTATTACTTTAATGTGATGTGATGGATACAGTTTTCGTAGAGAAGCACCGGGCGAAACGATAGTGAGAGCGGAAGAAAGTGAGCTCGTTGTATATTTGGTAACCCAGCGACAGTGCGCGCATACCGGCGACCCATGACAGGGGCGGACTAGGCTGAGCGGCTAGAGAAATTGATCGTCATTATATACGGATAAGTTGTGTTGTATGTTGTTAACAATATTGTTATTGCATTCAATTTATTTTTAGTTGTATTTCTTTTGGTGCGCTTGGAAAAAATATGAGAGTAAAATTTTTACGATTTTTTGATATTCACCTATAATTGCAAGTTATAACGCGTATAGCAATTTGCGTTTAACGTCTTTTTCACAATGAGAAACGTAAAGAGTACGGGCAGAGGGGATAAAATTTTAGTTATTTTTTTTTGTTACGCTAAAGAAGTATAACATTATACATGCGTACTTTTTACATAAGTACACACGTACTTTTTCGATATATTTTTTATTTATTTATATTTAAAGGCATATATTCAGTCACATTAGACATAATAATACAAAACTTAAACATTAAAATTACAAAAATAAAAACACAAAGAAAAAAAACCAGTTATATCTAATATTTACAACATTAAATCTAACTAAATTAAATGAAAACATTTCCTCGTTGAAAGGTCATTTTGACTGAAATAATATTAAAAACCAAATTTATAAGGATAAATTTATAAAGATGCAGAAACAATCCAGCGTCATTAAATTATGACTGATTATTTTGATCATTGGATTAATAAGTTAATGATTTAAATAAATAAATAGACGACAAAGTCCTGCCCTGTCTCCACTGGCACAATTTTCTCTCGATTACGTTTCTTAATCGATTGGTATGCATTGTTACATGCGTGTTACGGGAATGACGGCAGCGGCCACCACGTTCGGCTTAGACAATGTATGAGTGAAAGGAAAAGGAACCTCTGAGAGTTGACTTAAGGTTGAAAATCGCGGCGCGAGGACTGGGCAACTCATTTTGATAGACGCATACATTTAGGCATCGGTCGAAAGCCGTGGAAGAGCAAGGCCCAGGCGCTGGAAGCGTCCGGGCTTCCTAAGTGAAACGCGGACGCCGTCTACATACCAATTGGCACGTTTTTTTAAGTTATAAGTATGGGTGGTGGCTTGGTGGCACTGGTTTCTGAATGAGTGTCGCGCCGACCGGGCGGCCGCATAGCTATGAAGTTCACTGCAGTAAGTATCCGGACGGTGGCGGGAATAGTGCAGTGCGTGATAGTGAAGGCTCAAGTGTTAAGGAACTGTGTGGGTTCTCTAAAATGCCTCGTGTATTTCAGATCGCGTCGGTGTTGTGCGCCTGCCTGTGGTTGGCGTCCGGTGACGTCATCCACCTGAAGTCCGCGAAGGCTAGGCTGGTCGGCAGCCTAGTGCACAAGGCGAAACATCACAAGCGTGGCATACTCTCCGCGGTGCCTCCGTTCAAGCTGGGCCACGACATCCCACTGGTGACCCATTCAGTCGTGAAACCGCTGGTGGTGACCTACCCCCCCACGGCAGCGGTCGCCACCGTCAAAGTGCCGCTTACCAACCCTTTGGTCCCGCGTTACCCGGTGCCTGTGGGACATAGAGTGCCCGTCCCGCATCCCCACTATGGGCTCAAGTTCCCGCACTCCACAAAGTCAGTAGTGTTGTCGCAGCCGGACCACCATTTCCACCACCACCATCATCACGTGTCTCCGAGGCCAGTGGCGCCGATAGTCCCCGTTGCACCCGCTCCCGCACCGGTCCCCGCTCCCGCCCCACTTCCAGTGCCCGCGCCAGCGCCAGTGCCAACAGCTCCGCTCGTTCCCGTAGCGCAGCCAACGGCACCTGCACCATTGCAACCTGTTCTTTTCCACTCCGCACCCGCTCTCCCTGCACCGCCTGTGCCCGTTGCGCCTCCGCCTCTACAAATTCTGCAACCGCATCACTTGCACTTTAAGCCTTTGTTACCCGCAGCTGTGCCCGTTCAACCGGCTTCAGTACTCCCCGCACCACTGTTCCAATATGCGCAACAATTTCCCTATGTTTTACGCCATGGCGGTGCTGTGCAGACATCTGTATTTGCCACCTACCCTAGGTATCCATTGCTCAACTATCAGTCTCCACTTTTACCTATAGCTCCATTGGCCCCGGGCGTCCAAGGTGCTGGGCAAGTTCTACTTAAGAGACCACAAGTCCTATTGCAAAGACCTCAAGTTCTATTGGAGAGGCCGCAAGTACCACAGTTTCATCTAGTGCCACAAGCTGGAGTTCAGAGTGGTGTCGTAGAGCATGGGCACACTAACGTGGCCGTGGAGCCGACGCCAGCTTTGTTGCATCCCCAAGCGGCTTTGCCGACACCCACCTTACATCTACAGCCAGCAGCTATTCCGCAACCGACAGTACATCTCCAGCCAACGCAGCCATCGGCTACTTTGGATCACGACGGTTGGTCCCCAGTCACGGCACAGCCTCATGACCTCACTCCAGCTCACAATCCGGAAGCCCATTACCCTCAGCCTCAACCACACCACCACTTTACTCAGGAACAAGGTACCCAAGTTTTCGAACATCACACGGGAGAGGGAAACTACAATGACTTACACCATCAGTTGCAGCACCACATTCAGCAGCAGATCGAGCAGGCGCAATATGAACAGCATTTGAATAATCAGCATCATCAATATGTCACACCCCAGCAACCGGGACAAGAGTACGGTATACCCAATCGCGATTTTTCACAGCAAAACCACGATTTCGCCTATCACGGCCAAGAATATGCCCCTCACGATCAGCAGTACATTCCAAACGATCAACAGTATGTAAACACTCAAGATTTTGGACAGCACGACCAGCAATATGTTCCACAGGATCAACAGTTTCCTCAGCAGGACCAACAGTTTGCCCAGCATGATCAGCAGTTCGCGCAACACGATCAGCAATTCGGACAACACGACCAACAGTTCGCCCAACACGACCAACAGTTCGCTCAACACGATCAACAGTTCGCCCAACACGATCAGCAGTTTCCCCAACAGGAACAACAGTTCGCCCAACACGATCAGCAGTTCGGCCAACATGGCCAGGGATACGATTTATCCCACCAACCGGGTCAGGAGTACGGTCTGCCTCAGCAGGGACCGGAGGGACGCAACGATGATGGTCAGGAATCGGATCAGCAGTATCACAATCACATCCCCCTCGGACTGCAGCCGCCTATAAACGAACCTTTGGAACATTTCCGGTAGTTACGCCTATGGTGGCATAGACTGTAACCCAGATCGGCGTTAGCTAGTAGCAATAGAGTCAAGCGAAACAATCAACGATTGCTCGAGTTCTCAACAAATACCATCTCGCAGGTTCGACCGAGAATAAATTTTATTTGCCATGATTCTACGCGTTCGTGAGCGATATCGTCAAAGAATTACTTGCTTAATTGTCGAGGCTGCTTGTTGAGCTTCCGTCATATGTAAATATTGCCTAATAATACTAACTAATTAAATATTTGTTTTTAATGTAGTTTAACATTTAAGTATTTATTTATTTTAATGTAATAAACAATTCAATAACTATATTTTTGTTTTAAATATCAAAATAGGATTAGGGCTTGCGAAGTTATAAAAAAAATAGTTGCAATCTCTCTGTCAGGCCTAATTTCTGTAAGAAAAAATACCTACAGTTAAGTTTTATGCTTAACTGTATTATATCATTTTATCCGAACGCTGAATCTAAATTGTTACAATTTATCGTTCTTTACTTATAAATATTGTGTACTGCATGTGGGCAATAGTGAGTTTAGTGAGAGGTTTCCTGTGAGATTATTCTACGATATAATATACAAAATGATTTAGAAATTTATTCCTGTTTACATCATCCTCCAAGATACCCAGTTTGATTTTCTACACATATAATCTGAACAAAAAAGCGAGTATCACCCTTCGGTGACAGTTAAGAGTTCGAAGAGTTAACAAGTACAATAATCGACTAGATAAAATAGAATAAAATACTTGCGAAATTACTACAAAAGATTGATAAGGGGATTCTATAATAAATACATTTATTTAATAGAAAAATAAATAACGAAAAGCCCTAAAAGTTCTCGACATATGTAAAAAAACCTCCGTAGAAACAGTTTGTGCTTTCCACAAGTTATGAGACTGAACAGTATTGTATCTTCCAATTCAAATCAGATTAAAGATAATTATGTTCACAACACTTTTCAGCAGTTTATGTAAAAGACACGTATAACTTCTCAAAAAACAGTGAAACCTATGACGTAACAGGTGACATCGAATTTTTGGCGCAGGATGTTAAAGAGAAACTGAAAAATCTTAATATTACAAAAGGCTCATGTCCCTATAATATACACCCGCAATTTATAGTAATCTTCAGGCTTTATTTTAAGATATTCAAAAAATTTTAATAAAAGAGCAACTGTTATTTTAAAATTTATCTAAGAAGTAAACGTGAGTACAGTACTCACGAGTATGGTACTCGTACTTCAAAGACCCATACAAATCAAACTAAAAGGCTACAAAAAAAAACTAGATCACATTTTAACGTATCGTTTTCATACTTCGAGATGTCTGTAAATTTACTGTGACCAATTAAAACATTTTAATCTCCAAATGCTATCGATACGCCGAGCTCACTCAGATTAGTTCAATCTTATCAATCATAAACACAAGCTTATAACATCGATTGTCCCTTGTCGTTAAGCAAAATCCAATATAATTTTCCTCTAATGAGAACAATTGTTCCTAACATTAGAAACTTAGAAATGTTCTTTATAATGAACAAGGAAAACAAACAACTGGATCTAGATATTCATTTCGACAGTCCCACGCTTTGGAAATAATCCTAAAATTAAGGGCAAAATTATTAGAATCATTAGAATTTATGTTACTTTAATCATACTTATTTTCTTCGTGTTATTAATTTATAATTTTATTTTAATTTCTTTTATTGTCTATTGCACCTCTTGTTATCTTTATTATCAATGTAAAACATTTTGTAAAAGCTACCTTAATGGCAAGGGCCTACTATAATGTCCAAGAATACATTGAAGACAAGGATGTTGGAAATGACTCTTGCCCTGCACTTGCAAGACCCCTGGCTGCTGCTGATTTTATACCTAAATAAGTTAGTATAATTGCATAAAAAAATAACAAAAAGAACAAGACCGCGGAGTTTCTTGTCGGTTCTTCTCTGTGCAGGTCTAGTTTAGTGAACCGGTGGTAGATTTTTTGTTGACGTTAAATAAGAGCTTAAGTTAAGCCTATATTGAATAAATATACTTTGACTTTGACTTTGAAAGCATAATGCGAATACGTTTAATTATAAGAACAGTTAGAAAAGATTATTTGCACAAATTTTACGCCGACTGCAAATGCTGAATCTTATGTTAGTAATCCAATAAATAAATAAATACGTGTATATGTAATAAATGAAAACTTACTTAACTAAAATTAATATCAAGATCTTTAAGCAGGTAGACTTATTATAGAACGCCTTATATTTGGGGTAAGTCAATTACTATGAATCGGAAAGGGATAATAAAAGCTTACCTAAACGATTGAGGTTTATATATGGTTCTATTAACGAAATGAAATGTAATTAAATTACCCCAATTTTTTATCGCATATTTTCTATATATTTACTCTGGGTGAGTGTGAATAGTAAACTTAATTTTTTAACCCTCGATCAAATCAGCGCCTACAAAAGGTTAATATCAAAATATCTAACTACAATATTGCTAGTAAAGTAGTAAAGTAACAGCCTATACATGTCCCACTGCTGGGTAAAGGCCTCCTCTATACAGAGGGTATCAGGGCATAGTCCACCACCCGGCCCCACTGCGGATTGGCGGACTTCACATAACGTCGATTTTTTTTTGTTATTATCTCGAAAATATGCAGGTTTCCTTACAATGTTTTCCTTCTCAGCGGAGCTCCTTCTCCTTATCACGTATAAGTCAGCGGAGCTCCTTCTCCTTATCACGTATAAGTCAGCAATTAAAGTTAAAAACTTCATTGGTGCTGGCACCGGGGATCGAACTCAGGTTGCTCGACTATATTGAATTAAAGGCGAGCGCCCGGACACTGAGCTATCACGGCTCTCAATATATTGCTTATCTAAAAATGTAACTGATTAAAACGATTTAACGTTTAAAATAAGACAAGGGATTCCATAAATAAGCGATTCTCAGCTCAAGAAACTATTAGCCAACAAATATTTCTCCACTTAAGTTTTATGGTGTTTATTTTGCTTTTTTTATGTATAATTTAGTGTAATATTTATTATTGTTATACCTCTTTTTTTTTAATCGTTATCTCTACCTACCTCATGTTATTACTCCTTGATCTATTTGCGAGAACTTGTAAATGGCTATCTCTTTTCTATTTATTTATATATTAATGGTTGTATGTTAGCTGTAAGTTTTCCATACATAATAAAATAAAATAAAATATAAAACAACTTCAGCCGAATTAAAATTAAATTAGAAAATACTTGATTTATGTTTCAGTTTAGTAATGATAGAAATAATCGCATTTTTCGTAGTTTTTTACTCTGTCTCTGGATCCAAAAATGTATTATTAAGTTAGTTCTATTAAAAATACTACGATTCTAAGGGGATGATATTCGACTCTTGCTTTATATTGTTCTTCTGAGAGTGTTAAACTCAATTTGCTTTTGGTACTTCAGACAGGGGCCTAAACATGTCACTTGTGCACATAAATATTATGTATACATTATTTACTGCGAATGCTTTACCTTACAACTTTGTACAAATCCGTGAGAGTCATCTAGTTGATCGCTCCAGTCTCTATCAATTGGACTTTGATATGTTCTCATTGTCAAAAATCGGTAAGAATTCTTATCATTCTGCACTCCTTCTCTATATAAACTATAAGTGCGGGAAATTTCATACTCCTCCGCCCGCGCAATTTTCGTAAAAAGTGGTGCAAAGTTTCTGCGTCACGTATATAGATTTCGTATTGTACTTAGTGCAATCGCTTTAATGGGCTGCATGGTTCACTATATGAGCATATTATGCACAGAGTACGGCTCACAGGTCTAGAAAGGCTCCACTGAACACATGTGACCTGTTTCAAATACACTCGGTTCATTGCTCTCACGAGTTCAGCACACAATATAAATAGAGTATCTCAAAAATGTTATTTGTGTATAGTAATGAGTGAATGGAATGGATTTGGCAAGAAAGAATTATTTTGTAGGCGTGCAATCAAGACCATACCAAAATCAGTAAATCCTATACAAACCCTTAAAAGAATTTGCACACGATTTTGTGGCAAAATCAAAACAATTATTTTGAAAGAAAATACTTAATCCTATTAAATGTGCTTACAATATTGTAAATGTTCTGATGTGTGCCATATTATACTTTGCTTATTTATTTTTTTATATAAAAAAGCTCAGTAAAGTCTTAATTTAGAATATTGCTTGATATTATGCTCCTATTATTAATTATATATATGTATGACATCCAACTTTTAAAAGTAGATTCAAACTTAATACTGCAATAATATTGCAATAAAGTATGAAAATGAGAAACCATATATTTGTTTAATCATATAATTGTGCCTTCGGGTTGAATTACGAAAGCGGTTTCGGCCGCTGACACTTTAAGCTACTAAGTACGTAGTTCACGTCTTAAATCCTAACGGGTACACGCAAAGACAGGGATATCGAAGTGACGCTGAACTTTACAAAATGTGACAGGTGATGGCTGATGCGCCTTGGTTGTTAACAATGACAAAAGCGCTTCCACAGACGGAAACGTCACTGATGCGTCCTGTCAGGCCTTGTCAGTGCGAACCCAAGGACCTACGTAGCGTGTCGCCGCCCCAAATACTGTCTTGTACTTTTTTTTAATAGTATTAAAACCTTCCGTGGACCTTAAGGAACATACAAAAAAATAAATTAGCCGAATTGGTCCAGCCATTCTTAAGTTATGCGCTTACCAACATTCATTTTTATTTATTAAGATTAAATGATGAAGTTTGCGCTTTCAGTCCCGAAACTATTAAAGCTTCATCGAACGCAGAACCGGCGGGCTAGCCAGAACTCACGGGCCCCAAATACTAATCCCTAACGGGGTAACACAGACTTGAATACCGATTATTGACTTTTCTCCATTCATTAAAAAGTAATAGGAGGTGCGGTTGACTAGCATATTATTATTATTTTTGATGTACGCGCTTTTGGGAACTTTCAGCTGTGG